CGGGGGGGGGGGGGGGAATCACAAGGTCCTAGACCACCTGCTTCCTCCCAACCCTCCAGCCTCTGGCTCATTGTCTGTCTTCTTGGATTCTGTGTCCTAGCATACAGATTTCTAGTTCCTCAAAAGCATCATATCCTCCTGTTTCCAGGCCTTTGCACAGGCTATTCTCCTTACCTGGAATGCCCTTTTGCTCTCTCCTGCACACGCCTCTGGTCTCAGGTATAGCCCAGGCTAAGTCAGATGTCATCTCTGGGATTCCCACTCCCTGGGGGTGGGTTTGTTTCCCCCACTAGACTGGGATCCCAGGAGGGTAGAGATGGGGCCTTTGCACAGGCTGTTCCCGCTTCCTGGAATGCCTTTCTCCTCCTCCTGGCTGATTCCTATTGGTCCTCTAGGTCTCAGCTCAGACATCTCCTCCAGGAAGCCTTCTCTGCTCTCTCCCACCCAACAGGTCAGGCACCTCCTCTGGGCTCCCCAGGCCCGTGGGGTTCCTCCATCACAGCCCCTACCACTCTGGACTGGACTGTCTGTTAACATGTTTGCCTCCCCCACTGGATTCCAAGCCCCAAGTCATCGGGGATTGCTGGGGCTGTGGAGGTCTCTGCTATGTCCCAGAGGCAAAGACAATGTCTGGCACATGAATGACTGAAAAAAAATGCTTTTATTGAAGTATTTTAAAAAGGACAACACTAATAATCCTAAGACCATTTACTGGGCATTTATTATGTGCCAGGCACAGTAAATACCTGTTCTCATTTAAGTCCAACAGCCCTGTGAGGGGAGCACCACCACTAGCCACACTTGCAGGGAGGGAAAGCCGAACCTCAGAGGAAGTAAGCCACCCGCCCAAATTCACAAAGCTAGTAAGAAGTGGAACCCAAATTTGAAGCCAGGTGGTTGGGCTCAGAGCCTGAGTTTCTAACAGTTACTCAGAATACCCCTCACTGATGCTTCTGGCTTGTAACTGTCCATCTGGGTCCGGGTGCAACTCCCCCATCAGACTTCAAGGCCTTTCAAGGCAAGGCCTAGGCTGGCTGCATTTTAGAGCAAAGGGCCTGCACCAGAACCGGTTCTGGGAACATGGTGAGTGGATGCAAGACTGCACAAATGAATGAATTAGCGCATCAGCCAGTGTGTGACCCACACGGCCCCACTCACCCTCGATGAGCCACTCGCAATTGCCATTGACGCTGTAGTTGCCCGCACCATCTGTCACGAAGCCTGGCGCCTCCCGCAGCACTTGTCGCTGTCCCTTGCAGTCCCCTGCCCGGGCCCCAGGGGACAGTGGCCACAGCACGGCAAAAGACAGAGCCAGCGCCGCAGCCAGAGCCCGGCCCAGGGCCATCGCTGCCTCCAGCACTGACCCTTACAGAGGGACGGGTCCTAAAGACCCGGAGAAGCCCCTCCACCCTCGGTTTGAAGACCTGCAAATGCGACCTCTATAGATGGGACATGGCCTTGTAGACCAGGGAGGTCCAGGAGTCGCTGTCCCCGCGAAGGGAACCGCCGCTGTTGATGGGCTCTGGAAACCGAGGGGTGGGCCCTTATAGACCCATGGAAAACCCTGTAAATGGGGTCGTTACGTACGGGGCAGACCCCTAGGGGCCACGGGAGTCCCTTATAGACATGGGCCCCCATACGCTGGCTGACCCCATAAACGGGCCGCTGCAGGCCGAAATGGACCTTGTAGACCACTGGGTCCCCGGTGGGCGAAGGGCTCTACAGCTCGGCGGGGGCCTACATAGAGTGCGGGCCGGGCCGGGCCCGGAAGGTCCTCCGGGAGAGACGCCCCTCCAGCCAGGGGCGGGGCGCGAGCGGTTGCCCAGGGCAGAGTCAGTCTTCAGGGGCTCAGGCCTGGACACCACAGACGAACTCCCTTGCTCACCCACCCGCGCCTCCCTTCCGAGCCGGATGAGCCAGATCAGAAAGATGAAGGGACGCTCGGGCCAGAGCGGCCCCGGGAAGACCCGATTGGTGGGCGAGAGGGTGGGGGCCGAAGGGCCGCGATGGGAGGGAGTACGGAAAGGAGGCGAGAGTCGCGGAGACGCAGGTCAGAGCGGCCCTGGGAGGACTGCGAAGCACCCAATCCCACCCCTCCACAGAGGGAGACTTCCGGAAACTTCCCCGCCCATTTGTCCCTAAACGCATGCGCAGCAGTGACCTCCTTGGCTAGTGAAGTGAGAATCACACATGCGCAGTGCTAAAATCGTAACCCGAACTCCCGGCGCAGGTGGCTGAGAGAACCGTCGGCCACTGGAGGGCGCCTCTACCTCTAACTGGGGAAGAGAAGGTAAAAATAAAGAAGCCGTACAATAAGAGGACTCTGCTAGATGATGATTCATATTTTCAGGGCTCCCAGATTCTGGGTCAACAAAAGGTCAGATTATGCAGGCCCCTCCCAAGATACCATTTCACAGTTGGGCGCACTGTGGTCCCGAGCCTGGAACGGTTCTTGCTCAGCCCCGTCTCTGAGCACTCACTGTCAAGATGTAGAAGAGCCCATCTTAAAGATAAAAACTCAACGAATCCTCTTTATTTTGGCTAGAAGGGGAAAAAAGTCTTTCTGCCAAGGACCTGTGGGAGGGCCTTCGGGATGGAGATAGGGTGAACAGAGTACGGGTCCTAGGTCACAGAGATCCCAAGGGAAGGTATGAGTCGAGACTAGCTTCACAACATCCGTCCCAGGAGCGGTGGCTCGGGGTCGCGGAGTCCTGGAGAGTCACAGGCAGGGTCCCGGCGATCGTCACTGGTGTTCCGGGGTCCGGCGGGGTCAGAGGTCTCGGAGGGGGCCAGGGGGCCGCAGGTCACGGAACAGCGGGAGCCCAGAATCCGGTGCCGCTCGGGGCAGGGGCTGAGGGAGGGGACGGGGAGAGCGGCTCCCGCGGGACCGTTTGGCACAAGAGTCGGGGAAAGGGTCGGGAGCGGGACACTACGCACCCCTACCTGGGCGCGCGGGGTGGGGAGGTTTGGGAAGGCCGGGGTTGGCAGAGCCCTGGGGCCGGGATAGAGCGGGGATCCGGAGCCCGGCCGGGGCCCGGCGCGCGGCCCATGGGGCAGGCGCGGGCAGGGGTGCTCAGACCGGGGGTGCGGTGCCCCCGGCCGTGTGCATGCTGAAGTATTCGGTGAAGCCGGTGTGCGGCGCCGCTGTCTGGGGCACGAGCGGCTGGTAGGGCGGCGTCGGGCCATCCCAGCTCGGGCCGGCCGCCTTGGGGAACCGAGAGGAAGGGGGCGGGGAGGCCGCGCCCGGCTCGGCCATGGTCACCACGCGGCCCCTCGGGGCCACCGCCGCCGCCGCCACCGCTGTCTCCTCCACCTGCTTCCCGGCCTGGGAGGGGGGTCAGGGTCAGAGGCCGTCCAGGACCCACGGGGGGCAGATGCGGCCCCGAAGGCCCGTCCCTCTTCCCCCGATGATCCCCCCTCCCGAGGTGTGGGCGCAGGAGTCAGTCAGGGGCGCCTGGACAGTGGGGCCAGGTACTCAAGGGGCGGCGTCGGGGTGCGCCGGGCGAACTCCGGCGGCGGCCGGGGAGGCGGGGGAGAACCGCGGAAGGCCGGCGGCGGCGGGGGCACCGCGCGGGGTGTCCGAGGGGGCGTACGCAACAGCGCCAGGACCCAGTCCGGCAAGGTGGGCGCGGGCGCCGGGGGACGGTCGCGGCGCGGCGTTGGGGCGCTGGGGGTGCGAAAGGCAGGGGGTGGGCTCAGGCGCCTGGACGTGGAGGGCGGTGGAGGGGCCGGGAGCGGGGTCAAGTACTCCAGGGGCGGCGCCAGCAGCTCCTCCGGCGCCGGGGCCGCGGGGCTTACGCAGGAGGTGGGCGGGGGGATGGAGAAGAGCTCCGTGAAGTTGGGCACCGAGTCGCTGATGAACGTCACGTTCCCGTAGACGTGTTCTGGGAAGGCCTTGTCTGCGGACTGGCCTTCTCCGGGGCCTGGGGCTCCGGCCGAGGCGATCTGCGACGTGCGCACGTGGTACGGGAAGTTCTTGTTGGCCGCCGAAGGGCGTGTCATGATCTGGGGCGAAGGGCAGGCGCAGGTTGGAGAAGGACTGTCCAGGCCTCAGGCTGCCTCCGTAAACATGAGGCCCTGAGGACTCCCCTTCACTTGACATCCCCGCTTCCCTGAAACCCTTCAACTGGATTAGGCGCCTCCTCTGAGCTCTCGCAGTGCCCTGGCCTCCAACCTTTCTCGTCCATCACAACTCTTGCTGCTCTGCCGATGCTTCCTCCATCAGAGCCCTGATCAGCCAGTTATCACTTGAATGCTTAAGCTTCAGCATCCTACTCTGTCTAGTATGATAGCTACTAGTTATATGTGGCTATTTAAGTTAATCAACATTAAACTAAAACTTTCATTTCTCAGTCACACTAGCCACATGTAAGTGCTCAATAGCCACATGTGGTTAGTAGCTATTGTATGGGACAGCACAGATTGTAGAATATTTTCATAAACACAGGAAGTTCAATTGGACAGCAACTGACAGACTCGAGAATGTTAGCTCCATGAGGGCAGGTACTTGACTGTTCTCTTCCCTGCTGAATCCCCAATACCTTTAGAACAGTGCCCGACACATACAAGCTCTCAATAAATATTGGTTGGATGCAGAGATGTCTCCTGAATTAGATGGCAGGCCATGAGGGCAGGGACCGGGTGTGACCCTAGCACTGCAACACGGGAGCCCAGCACAGTCCCTCTAAGGTAGTTGCTGAATAAGTGAACAAGGAGCTGAAACCGAAGAACAGTAGAGTGCCAGAGGTGGAGCTGTGCTGAGCTAACATGAGCATTTTTAGGAAGGAAACTGGTTGAAGGTTAAGTATAACAGAAAGGGCACCCCACCTCCCAGCCCCACAGCTCACTGAGTGTGGGATCTGGGACACATTGATTAAATTCCCAGAGCCTCACTGCAGAAAAGGGGTTACAGTGCCTACTGGGAAAGATGAAGAGAGGGTGGAAATGAAAACCGCTGGTGCAGAGCCTGGCACATGGTGGGTTCTCAGCATTTCTCCTCTCTCTGTCTCTTTGTGACTTCCTGGAACAGAGCCTCAAGAGGGACTGTCCCGGGAAAGTGAGTCTGTACCTAAGGTTCTAGGGTAGAACATGCGGGACCCGGCCCCCCTCCCTCAGTGGCTCAGTATATTCCCTGCAAAGAATACATGGTGGGCCCCTTGAGTCAGGAGCCGGGGTCTTCAGCAATGCCTATTTCCCTGTGTGATTCCTTCTTATGCCAGATCTTGTGTTCTGCTGGAGAAGGACTGGGTTCAAAGTCCCCCTGCCCCCCACCACCAAAGGCCATGGAGCCTGGCAGGTCACCTCCCTTCTCTGGGCTTTAGCTTCCCCTCTCTGTATAGTGGGTTCAGTGATGGTTATCCATCCTGTCTGGGGTTGCTCTGCCAATTAAATAAGAGAACGAAATAAATGCACGTTGAGTGTTCCCAACATGAAACAGAGGCTGGTTCGAGACAGGTGTCTGCTGAATGGTGGGTGGATGGATGGATGGATGGATGGATGGATGGATAGAAGAACTGTCAGCCAGAAGGCCAGATAGGATGTAAACCAAGGCAAAGAAGAGGTTTGGTGCTCAAACCCTCTGCTGCCATTCAGATTTAGGCCCCCTGAAGCCCCAGCCTGACCCACCCCAGTTGCTTCTTCCTGTGATAGAGCAGCAGAGATGGAAGAATGGGGGGCGGGGGGAGGAGAGACCAAGGGGCTTAGGAAAGGCAGTGGGGATACAGAAGGGAAGAGTGAGAGTCTAGGGACACAGGGTCAGGATGGAAATGGGGAGGGGGGCAAAGAAAGAGGGTGGGGTTGGGGGAAGAGGCCAGGACACAAAAGTGGGAGAGAGGAATAGAAGAGGGTGGACTCTGGGGGATACAGTGGAATAGCCTGCCAGAACCCAGCAGGCTCTCAATAAGTGTCTATTGAATGACTAAAGGGATGAAGTGAAGGAAATGGATCAAGAGCTCAGAACAGAAGGTTCAGGCAGCTCAGGCGTGGAGAGCCTCATGCATCCTCCACCCATTGGTTTCCCATCCCCAACTGGATGCCCAGCCTCACCAGGAACACGCCGTGGGCATACAAATGGATCCCCAGCTGGATGCCATTGACAATCTTCTCCCGGGCCCACTTGGGGATCCCAAAGTTGGCGATCAGGGCCATGACCGGAACTGCAAAGAACCTGAAGGGGAGGTATTGGGTCTGTAGAGTCACTGTCCCTGCCTTCCACCCCACCCCATGGCCCCAAATACCCTGCTATGCACACACATAGGTCCCAAGTGGGTCCCAAACTGGAAGGAAGCCAGTGTGACCTTCAGAAGCCAGAGGTTAAAAGGAGACAGGAGTCCCACTGGCATGGGA